TAGTGAAGATTCGGAAGAGGTACGTCCCAATCTCCTTTCCTTGTGTATTGAACTGACAAGAGACGATTCTTGCTCGTTAGGAAGAAGAATTCTACACTCCTGGGACTCTTGATCTTCTAGAAGCGAGAAGGTCAATCGCCGAATATTCTATCCAAAGGTTGGCATTCTGCTGCTACGTTCTAATGTTCTGATCTCACAAGCGTGAATTAGGGCAGCAATAAGAATCGAAAAACAGCGGCAAGAAGCCAAAATACCTCTGACAAGAATAATAGAGATGCGGAAGCAGCTTTTCACCGAATTAAAGGTTGGATTTGGAACACTTTGTGTCACAAAAAATCACCTAACATATGACTAGACTATACAAAACATTGGCTCCCAAATAGGGGACGATAGACCTCTTGCTCAGGTCCGCTTCTCGCCCAATAGCAAAATGCTGGCGACTGGCAGTTGGTCTGGAGGTTTGAAGGTCTGGAGTGTGCCTCAATGCGAAAATTTATCTACACATCGAGGTATTTCCTGCCTTAGAAACTCCATCCTCTTTTACTAATTAGATACAGGACACTCTGATAGAATAGGTGGAATCTCCTGGCATCCCCACGCCACGACCTCGATAGGTCCTTCGGTCGCAAATCTAGCAAGTGGAGCTGCGGACGGAAATGTGCACTTGTGGTCGCTGGATAAGTATGTCATATCCTGTAGAGTGGTGGCGTGATTAACATGTTTCCTTAGTGAGATGCCATTGTCGGTCCTCCAAGGACACAAAGCTCGTGTTGTACGAGTGTGTTTCCATCCTTCAGGCAACTATTTGGTATCCGCTAGCTATGATGGTACATGGAGACTTTGGGATGTTAACAAGTCAACGGAGCTTTTGTTACAAACTGGGCACTCGAAAGAGGTATTCGCAGTGGCCTGTCAAGTCGACGGCTCACTGGTAGCCTCAGGGTAAATATGTACTGAAGCTCTCGAGAGTGTGTTTTACTGACTCTACTTAGAGGTCTGGATGCATTTGGACGAATATGGGATCTCCGCACAGGTAGAACAGCAATGGTGCTAAATGGACACGTACAGCCGATTTATACCATCGATTTCTCTCCGAACGGGTATGTTTTCTGGTTATTGCTACGCCTTTCAGGTCTGATCCTATTCTAGGTACCAGGTAGCAACTGGGGGTGGCGATGATACGATACGATTATGGGATATCCGAGCATTACGATCTCTCACAACGATTCCAGCACATCGCTCCAACGTTTCTGAAGTCCGCTTCTTCCATTCTTCCAGCTCCCTTGTTTCCCTGGAGCAAGCTGATAACAGCCAACCGGGCGCCAATTCTCTTGAAATGTTGGAAGAGCAAGTGTATGAACGGTACAAGTCTGGCCTATACTTGGCCAGCGCTGGATATGATGGTTTGGTGAAACTATGGAGTGCGGAGGATTGGCAACTGGTACGAGCTTTGACAGCTGACTCAGAGAAGGTCATGTCTGTCGACTTGTCACCGGATGGAAACCTCATTGCTTCTGGATCATTCAGTAGAAACTATCAATTGTTTGCAGCAGAAGGATACAGTGGTTGAAATGAACCGATAAGACTATTGCTTGCCAATACGCGATCTAATAAAATATTTATATGCAAGATAAGATGACCGTGTAGGATGAGTGAAAAGATATGAAAATCATGCATAGTGGACCCAAGCGAGGCGAAATTGTGGCCTGTGATACGGATTTTGCGACTTGCCGTATTATGCTATCAATAGTTTTGTCTTTGCAATATGAGTGTCACCAGTCATCATCCAGGAGAGAAACATACCCTGTCCATGAATTCTGCCAGCTTCATCTGACTGGGGTCTTGTACATCACTTTCAAACGACTCCAAAAGAGTGGTAACTTGCTATATATCCCATAAGTAACCGTCTATGGTATTAAAGTCAACGAACCTCGTCAATTTCTTCTCCAGAGAGCCCAGTGCACAGGGAAATAATTTTCTTCATCAGCTGCTCCGTTTCCGTGCTGAGATTACTGAGAGAGGAATTCTTCTGTGCCAATATACCTCTGACACGATCAGACCATAGCTTCATTCTTCTCAACAAAATCAAGGACTCTAAATTGTTCCCTTCAGTTAAAGGCTTAGTCATAGCAGCGTCAATGGTCTTCTCAATCGAGGCTTTCATAGAAGATGGCAAGGAGTGAGACTTTCTGTTCCAGAATGAGGGCGATATTCCATCCTTTTCCGAGTCCGTATTCTGATGTATACGACCAGTCCACTCGACGACTTCTGGTGGCCTTTGTATTGTGTCGAGAGTACCTATTCGGGCGTTTACTTGGTCCAGTTCTGTAGTTCGAGACCGCAATTCCTCCAGTTCTCGTCGCTTAGTTGCTAGTAGTTTTGTGGTATCCTTGAGTGACGACCGAAGAGATTCATATTCTGCTCGTTTGGTAGCTTTTTCGGCAGCGACTTCAGTAGCCATTGTTTTAACCAAGTTCAACATGTCTAGAACCTTCATGTCAATGAAATCATGATTAATCCTTGACAACATTACCATCG